TTCATTCTATTCATTCATATTCATTCTATTCATTCTATTCTATTCATTCATTCTATTCTATTCATTCTATTCATTATATTCTATTCATATTGTGTAAATTTCTCTAATATTCTTCATCAAAAGGATGTACTATTGACTATTCTTTCCATAGTATTGAATCTACCTCCAAATTAAAGTAATTTTTATAATTATTTCTAATAGATTTTGCTTCTTTTATAAAATTATGAGCTCCAAGACACAGTGGCGGATTAAGACTTCTTGGGGCCCGGTGCTGTTTTTGTTTTTGAAGCCTTTTTATGGGCCAGAGCCTAAAAAGGCCTCCAAAAACAAAAACAAATTCTTGATAACTATTTATTTCTTTTCTCCAATGACCAGGTATACTCTCATTTGGTGTTTCTTGATCAACATAATCACTTAGACAATATGAAATATGTTTGTTTTTGTTTCAGTGGCGTAACTAGGAGCATAACCCCGCAAGGCAGGGGGGTCGCGGAACTTAGAGGGCTCCGCGGAGATTTACAAATTTTACTTATATGAATAATAATATGAGTAATAATAATATGAGTAATAATAATAATATGAGTGTTACTATTTTCTGTTTTATCAAATACATTTTATGAATTTATAATTTTTTACGTATCCCTATGGGCATTTTTGGAGAAAAAATTTAATTTTTTGCGGGGGGGGGGGGGGGCACTGAATTTATAGTTACGCCACTGTTATATTTGTATCTTCATCAAAAAATTGTGCAGAGCCACAGTTGATTTCACAAAAAGTTTTATATTTTCAACTTTTGATATGATTGGTCTTTTAAATATTTGGAACCTGCTAGCTAAAACGCCAAAACAGTTTTCAAGTATCCTTCTACCTTTTGATAAGCGATAATTAAACATGATTTCTGTTTTATCGAGATAGTCCTTCGAGGATAGAGCCTCATCATTTGCGGTTTTAATGCAAATGCCTCGTCAGCTAAAAAGGTGTAGGGGAATATTATGGATTCTGAATAAGCCCTTATAAATGATGGATCAGGAAAATTTAATAGATTACACAGGTCTACAAAAAATTTATTGCATTAAATTTGACACTTGTTCTTACATAATTTTGATATGCTGAATTCAAATCTGGCATTCATTTTTTATGGAAAGCTACAGATTTTTTGCAATTTATATTTTTTTAATTTTGCAAAACAGTAGAAATAGTTCTAAAATACAGATTTGAAACTCATTTGAAAATGCTAGAATATACTTTTTAGAATAAAAGTTGTTTACAAAACTAAAACAAAAACAGAAAGCAAATGAAACTAAATGTAAACTGATTAAAATAAGTATTTTTCAAATATCCAAGTTCTAGCAAAGTTATTAACTTTTTATTGATTAATAACAAAATCTTTTACTTTAGTGGATGATCAAAATCTTTTTTACTAGTTTTAAAAAATATTTCAGATTATATTGCTTATTTACAACTACTTAATCAGGAAGAAACTTTTGCTTGTTGCTCTTTCGTTTATAATTTTTCCTGTGTCTTCTCGCTTGATGCCCCAACAGTAGTCTGCCATCATGTGTCCCAACGTCCTTGGTAACGATCTTCGATTGTCTTAAGATCTTGATGGAATTGCTCTCCCTGCTCTTCACTCACATCTCTAAGATTTTCAGAAAAACTGGTTAAGATGAGTATTTATATAATGAAGCTTTATACTCATTTTGCATACAAGATCACAAAAGGCTTTCAACATTTTATCAACTAAATCTGCATAGTTTTCTGCTTTTTTATTTCCATGAAATTTTTTTTTTAACAATCACAAACAATAACCAAGCCGTTTTCTCTTTGATATTCATCGTTTTAATGAATTCTTTCTCTTTTATAAGATAGCGAATTTGTGGCCCGTTAAAAACTCCTGATTTTTTTTTTCTTTATTGACAATCCTGGTAATGATTTAACTATATACTGAAAACAATCACTATCAGTTTTTAGTGCTTTAACAAATTGTTTCATGAATCCAAGTTTCAGATAGAGTAATGGAAAAACTATTTTGTTTCGACTAACCATCGGTTCATTCACAATATTTTTGCATGCCCACTGTGAGAGTCTTGCGAATGGGCCATTCTTTTTGTATCCAGTGTTGATTTCTCGCTTGACTGTCCCACATACAGAGATAACATGGAAATTTTGTAAAACCTTTCTGCTGACCAAGTAAAAAGTTAACCATTTTTAGATCTACACAAATAATCCAGTTGTGTTTATGATATTTAATCAAGTTAAGTACCATTTTAATGTCACCGTAAGTTTCTCGCAAATAAACAGAATGACCAATTGTGGTACAGAACCAAAAATATTTCCATTGTGCAATATAACGCATTTGAGGCTTCGCTTTGAGCTATCGATAAAAAGTCTCCAATCTGCTGGATTATATACAGAAATACCCAACTGTAGTAGGAGACCTGAAATATCATGACAGTTAACAAATAAATTGACTTCTAAAAAAAAGTCAACAAAAGTTTCATCTCTTGTTCTAAAATAAGATACTTTTGCAAAGTTATCAATAGGTTTTTTTCTTTTAAACGTGACGCTAATACTTCTGCTGCTTGTTTAGAAAGTCCTAAATCACGAACTAAGTCATTCAGTTCTATCTGACTAAAACACTGAGGCAAACTGAATTGTTAAGCATTAGATAAGAAGTCTTCCAAATATAAAAAAAGTTCTTCTGTTTCTCTAGCTGACACGCTTTGCTCATCTTCTGACAAAAATAAACCTTTGAAAATTGGAAATGGAATCTCGTTAGAATGTTGAATGGTCTAATAGCAGAAGAAATGTTGGGATAAGTTATTTTTTGTCTCTTAATTTTGCCAACACCACTAGTATCAACAAGACAAAAATAGCAGTCATCAATATGATTTAGTGGTTCCCTCCAAACCATAGGGACTCCAAAAGGTAAATTATTTCTTTTTCCTTTTGTCCAATCTCGAAGACTTTCTTCACAAATATGGCATGCAGTATGTGGAGCCCACTTTTTGTCTTGGTCACCAAGTTTAATATCGAAATACGATTCATATGCTAATTTCACAAAATTAGTAATGTTTCGTCTTTGTCGAACAAGTGCATAGCAACCACATATATAACAAAATGAGTTAGGATTATACTTGCACTTATGTCGATTTGAAGAAGCCATCATAATATATATTTGATCTAATAAAAACAATGAGATGGTTACTTTTTTATAACTATTGAATAAAAATAGCTATGAACAATAATTAAACATAATTAAAAAAAAAAAAAATGATAAATTGAGAATTGCAAAAAAACTAGAGCTTATCAACAAAAACGGACCTTATATTTGGATTAAGCGTTTAAAAATACATAAAAATAAGTTTCAATATCTCATGCAACAGAAGAAAAGTTTTTTTTTGTAGATCTGTGTTATTATCGATAGCAACGTAAATTCATATTTTGCATTACACGTTGCTAAAAGTAGATGTTTTTTTGTTGTTAAAATACGTTGAGCCATTTCGACCTGGTAACTGAATAACTACATGTTTACCATCTATTGCACATAAACATTGAGGGAAATTCCATAGTTCGTTTAATTTTTGGAGATATTTTAAGCTGTTTGCAAAAGCTTGTGAACTCATGCGAAAACTCTGAAAAAAATATTTAGTGTCAAAAAATTTAAAATCTTTTACTAATACATTAAGCCTTTTTGCACACGTTCCATAGAATTTTTTCGTACATACAATGTTTCCTACATTTTCTCAATAAGAGACACTTTATAAATATTAGCAATAAATTTATTTTCTTTTGTAGTAACTTCCTTCTGTTTAAAATCATCTTATTTAACAACAAACAAAAACACATAAAAATTCCATGCCGTGAAGTTTCAAATTCCGCTTGAAGTTTTCCACCTGTTTGCGCACGCTCAAAGAAGTTTTCCGCGCGGAAATTTGCTCCTAAGCGCGAAAAATTCTAAATGGAGAACGGGCTTTAAGCTTTCGAAGGCTGCTTCGATGTTGGTGTTGGAAATCTTTCTCTTTCTCTTTATCTCATTTTTATTTTATTATTAACTTATGAAATAAAAGGCTACTTTTTGATATAATATTGTATAAACAAAATTGAATTAATAAAATTAAAATAGAATTACAAAAAATGCACCTGCACTTCTATTCACTTCTGTAACGTTATTTTTTTAAACAATTTTTATGATTACCATAAAAGAGAATAGCTTTTATTCAAGTCATGTGGAAAATTATGCTCCAAGGAAACTGTTTTTAATCATTATTTTTTGTCTAAAGATATTTTATAACTGATTGTCTTAATGAATTGCTTGTTGCAATAGTTAATGATTATCGGAAACGATTGTCCAAAAAAAAAAGTGGCATTGTAAAAATTATTAGGAAAAACCCTTAAAGTTTCAGCCAGGAGTACACAGAAGGTAGGGAATTTAGGTTGGTTTCCCCCGGTCAGCAAGCCTATGGGGCATCAGGGGACAAAAATACTAGAGATGCTTTATTATTATTAGATATAAAAGATCTGGAGACGAATTGTAATAAGCTGAAAGAATTAGTAACAAAATTACTGTAAAGTGTTCCAAAAGATCTTACTCAGAATTTAGTGAATTCCATACCGAAACGGATCAATGAATGTTCAATGAAAGCTAAAAAATTGTCAACAAAATATTAATTCCTTTTTTTATTTATTTATTAGGTTTGTTAATTTTATTTTTGTGGTTTGTTTGTTTTGGTCACTTTTTTTTTAAAATTCAAATGAACACTTGTTTTAATTTCAATATTTTAGTTTTATTTTTTTATTATTTTATAATGAAATTATATTGTGATTATTTGATTTATTTCAATAAAAAAAACTTAAATAACGACATAAAAAACAAAGATTTAAAAATGAAACATTTCATTATGAACATAAAAATTAAAACATTATATAAAAAATGTTACATGGACTTCTATCAGGGAAAAAAAAAGGATTTGTGAGCCTATAAAAAAAACCCACAGTAGTCCTAAGACAACATCAATAAAAACTTTAAAAAATATACTAAAAACAACCACACTATTTTTTACGCTTCCCACGATTATTGCGGCTCGCAGGAGGAATTCCTGACGGTGTTTGATTAATACTTAAATTATTTGGATTATTGGTAAATAATTCTTCAAATCGGTAATCTATCGGGCTCATAAAAATATCACTCCTAGGACCATGCCGATTATTAGATGATTTGGTATTAGAGACATCTTTGTTGACATAAATTTGATTTCCAGGTGAGTTCCTATTAGAGACGTCTCCCTTAACATTATTTTGATTTCTATTTGAGATGTCTCTTCCAGCTGGGTTCCTATTAGAGACGTCTCCCTTAACATTATTTTGATTTCTATTAGAGATGTCTCGTCCATTATTACTTTGATTTGTGAGCGATTTCGTATTAGAGAAACCAAGACTAGCATCATTTCGATTACTAACGGATTTTGTGTTACCTGCATCACGTATATCAGATTGAATAACTGCGTCATTTTTTGCCACAACTCTTCTGTTTTCAATTACCCGTTCTCTTTCATTAGTTTTCTCAGCTGACTGATCTCTTTTTCCGTTTGCTGATCGAACTGTTTTTTTTTTATCTGCTGACTGGTCTCTTCTCTTTTTATCAGCTGACTGATCTTTTTTTTTTTTGTCAGCTGACTGGTCTCGTCGAACTTCAAGACTTGGTTGCGAATGAAGATATGACTCTTTAGTTGACGAATTCATATTATTTGGTAGATACGCCTGAGATATTCCTACGTTTAAAGGAGATAAAGGGAACAGATTCTTCCGTTCTAACTCGTTGGTAGACTGAGGTTGATGGTGAGAAATTTGTTTAACTTCGTTAAGATTCAATTGTTTGAATTGTTCTATTGATGAAGGATCTATATAAGGGAAACTTTTTAGTTGATGATTAGACAAATTTTGAGGTGGGGGAGGCAAATTTGGCGGTGTTTTACTAACACCATAAGAATTAAAAAGAAAATTTGAAACATTGTAATGTAGTTGTTGAGGTAAAACATGTTGTACAGAAGATTGCTTTCCAAGAAAATTACTATATGCAGAACTAATTTGCTTAACTGGAGATAGCCCTTGAAACATTTCTTCATTTAACCCCTTTGGTTGCTTTTTAGTACCATTAGCTCTATTATCATTTTCTTTAATTAAAATATCTTCACGTTTTTTTGGTAAAAGGCGTTGCATTTTTGTTTCGTTTGCAATTGGCTTTTCTTGACCGTTTGTTTGATGGTCACGCCATTTTTGATTTCTTGAGTCACTGTCTTGTCTTTGACGACGATCTTGAAAAGTGCAATCTTGTTTACGATGACCTCTTTGGTTACATTTATGGCATCTCAAACCCATATCTTTAGTAGGAGACTGAAAAACAAGAACGTTAAGATAGTCTAATTATATTAGTTTAATATTTATATAAAATATAATGGAATATAAGGTTTAAGTATGAGTAATTATAAAATACGATAATACAAAACAATAATAATATAACAATGTAACTACGACAACATGCAGTTTAATACTTACACAGGGTTACAAAAAAATTTATTTTAAAAATTATCGACCAATAATAATATCGACCTTCCAGCTCTTGAAAAAGTTTTCGAAAATATTTTTGTTGAGCAAATACGAGTATTTATTAGCTTGAACATTTTGTTAATAAGCCTTCGTAAAGGTATGACACTTAGCGTGCGCTTAGCGGTGTAGCACTTAGTTATATATATATATATATATATATATATATATATATATATATATATATATATATATATATATATATATATATATATATATGCGCTTAGCGGTATAGCACTTATATAAATATATATATAACGCTTAGAGGTATAGCACTTAGCGTGTGCTTTTTATTTTTTGAAAAAACGGCAGGAATGCTTGCATAAAGGAGATACGAATGGTTAGGAGTTTCATTAGGAGTGCCTCAAAGATCATTCCTCGGGCCTATATATTTTTATAAACAACCTTTTATTATTTATTAGAGATTTACAATTTTGTTGATGATAGTACTCTATGTTTGTGATTATTTCTTAGAAAATGTTACTTTTTGATTGCAAAACGAAACACTAAACGCCATTGAATGGTTTAAATTTAATTATAAGATCGTAAATTTACTTGTTTCTCTGCGCAGCAACCATGTTTGTCAAGGTTCGTGTTTCGAGTTATGGAGCTAAAACACGGTTGTAACCACAACTAAAAGTAGCCTCCTTGACTGTAGTAGCCTTCTCGGCTACAACAGAAGAAAAGTTACTTAGAAAGTAACTTTTCTTCTGTTGAGTCTAATCTCTTGCAAAGTTCACCAGATCTACTTGCTCTTTGTGAGACTAATTTGAGTTCAGCTATGTGCTTTCATTTATGTGCTTTCATTTTATGCGCTTTCATTTCACCACTTCACTCTATCGCCTTTCTCTTTGTTCGATCTCTTTCATCTCAAGACTGCACTTTTTTTGATGTTACTTCTGATCAAATTTTCTCTTTATACATTGTTGTTGATTACTTAAATGTTCATCACACTCGATTTTAATGAACTCACTGAATGGCTTGGCTCTAGTGTCAGTGACTCTGCAGGCATTAAGGCCTACAACTTTCGCCTTTCTGAATCTCTAACTCAAAAAGTCAACTTTCCAACTTGCTTTCCAGACAACCTGAATCATTTACCTTCTCTACTCAACTTGTCTTGTTTTTGATCCTAGTCAGTGCTCAGTTTCTATACACTCACCCTAAGGTGCTTCTGATCATGGTTTGATCTCTTTAAAACTATTAACTCATTCTTCTTTATCATCAGAATCCCCCTATGATCGTACCTCTTACAACTACCTTTTAGCTGACTGGTACTCCTTGATTTTCTTCGTGATGGCCCTTGGGTAGAAATCTTTCATCTTCTTGCTGACAAACGTGTTTCATACATAACTTCTTGGATTCAGGCTGGCATGGAATTTTTGATTCCTTCTTGACAACTCCAAGTCAAGCCTCACTCTTCTCCATGGTTTTTCTCACATTGTATTGCTACAACTTCCAATCCTAACCATTACTTCCATATCTATTAGCAAAACAATTCTCCAGAAAACAGACATTTGTTTATTATTGCTAGAAACGATTGTAAAAAGTTTTTGTCTAACGCCGAAGCCCCCTTCTCAGGTTATGAAATCTCATATTTCATTTCAAAAATTAGGCTCCACAAACTTTTCGAGAATCTTTAATAATATCAATAATATAGGCAAATCTGTTTTCCACCTCTCTTGTATTTTCCAGATTTTGTCATCTCACCTAAAGACAAAGCTGAATTGTTTTCTAAGAACTTTTCATCAATATCACCTCTTGATTCCACTAGTTGTGTTCTACCTGACACAGCCCACAAACAGGTTAATCCATTACTTGACATTCGTATCAATCCAGCTTCTGTATCTAAAGTGATTTCCTGCTTAGACTCTTCTAAAGCTTGTGGTTCAGAAAACATACCTGTTATAGTCTTGCAGAAGTGTTCTCTGGAGTTGTCGCCTATACTTTCAAATGTATTTAACAAGTGCTTATCAGAGTCTTGTTTTCCAGTATGTCATCTGTTATCCTTATTTTCAAAAACTCTGGAGAGTGATCTGACTCATTAGACCCTCCCATTAGTCTTTTTCCTATCATTAGCAAGGTTTTTGAATCTTTAATCAACAATCACTTGGAGGGGGCATTTGAGCTTGAAAAGGATATCACTTCTGCTACAGTATAGGGCTCACAGTGGCTGGTAAACTTTAATTCAGATAAGACCCAATTTTTTTCAGCCAATATAATTTGCAATCTTTTATGTCGTCTGTCAATCGTTATCTTGCTTTATAAATTTTGTTTTTTCTCTTCCAGTAACTTCCAACTCTAAGAGTGGCTGCTTGTAGCCTTATTGGAACTGAAGATTTAAAAAAAAAAAAATATGTTTGAATATGTTGTCGATTAGTGATCGACCGGCACTGAAATTTTGCCGGAACCGGAACCGAACCGAAAATAGATTTTAAATATTCCTAACCGGAACCGGAACCGAAAGTAAACCCTAACCAGAGCCGAAACCGAAACCGGAACCGAAAATAAATAATAGTTTTTGTTTGCAAGTTTATTCCAATTAAAACACAAAGTTAAATTAATAAAAAATGATTAATAGCAGAATCCAACAACTGCAAGATTTTCTCGACAAAAAAGGAGTTTTTCCAAATTTTCTGGAAGGAGTCTGTTTCTTTCGTTAGATAGAATATCTCCAGCCGTAGAAAACAATCTTTCAACATCTGTGGATGTTGGGGGTGGTGTGAGGTACTTTTTTGCCACCTTAGTCAATGCTAACTTGATTTTGCTAGTCGCATTTTTTTCATAGTTTTTCCAAAATTCTAGGCAATGAGAAGCCATTGGACAATCCAAAAAATCCTTCAACACTTCCCTCGTCATTTTGGAAGATGAATGCTCATTTAGTCCTGTTTGAGACTGTGCAATAATTTTTGACATTATGTGCGAGAATGCCGTGTTTTTTTCATTGTCACCAGATGGAATTTGAGTAACAGGAGCCAATTCATCTTCAAGAGGTTCAAAATTCTCCATTTAGGACATGACAATGTGTTTGGCATTTTGCAAAGCAGCTTGAGATCGGAAAAAATACCATTTGTATTTTGGATTAAGTAAAGTAGCAACTGAATAATGTTCTGTTTTTTCAATTGCTGAAAAACGTTTTTCCATTGCATTTTTCATAGCTATTTTCAATTTCTGAACACTGACGTCGCCGGAGGTTGTTTCCAAAGCTTTAATTATTGTTGTCACAATTGGAATGCAGGAACTGATACAAGAATCACTACCTGACAACATTTTTGTTGCCTCCTCAAAAACACTTAAAATCCTCACCACTTTTTCATAGAGGCTCCAATCTTGGACGGAAAATTCAATTCCCACAGAAGGAAATTTGAGTAAAGTTGCAGCAATGGCTGGTTTCAGGTGTAAAATTCGCTCAAGCATGTAATAGGTAGAGTTCCATCTTGTAGCAACATCGTTTTTAAGCCAAGTCTGTCTTTTCTATCCATTTGGATTTCTTGCTGTCTGTAAAGTTCAGTGTAGAAACCAATAGAATGGGATGCGTAAGAACAAAGTTTTCGACTTTTTTCAATCAGTTCGTTGATGGTAGGATCTGATAATAGGTCTTTTTTTATCACAAGTTGAAGGGAGTGGTTAAGGCATCCAGCTGACTTATAATTACAGCTTGGCTCATTGAAGGCTGCTTTTACATTTGCTGCGTTGTTTCTTAAGCAAACTCCAATTTTTGAAGAAATTTCCCATTCCTCTGCTGCTGCTTTGATCTCTTTGAAAATATTTTTTGCAGTATGACTTTCATCAAATGGAGAACAAGAGATGCAGAATTTGACACGGTTCCAGTCTTTGGAAATAAAGTGAACAGTCATTCCCAGATAGCCATGATGAAATGATGACCATGCATCAAGGCAGACAGACACATTTTCAGCTTCTGATTGAACCAGCTTTTCCTTGAGAGCAACTTTAATTTTTTCGTAAGTCGGATCCAGTAAACTTCTGTAGTATTTTTCGCTAGCAATTTCGTAATTTGGAGCAATAAGAGCATGGTGCCTTAAAAATCCAGCATCATTGACAATAGACCATGGTTGGAGGTCAAAAATCATCATTTCAAAAATTGACTTGTGAAATTTTTGGCCTTTTTCAGAATTAGAGTCAATTTTTGAAGAAGCTTGAACCCAGTTTGGAATTGTAGATTGTAACATGTCGGATCTTTGTTTTTTTGATCGCATGTTGAAGATTGTAACTGCCTTCCTCTTGTTGGAATTTAAGTCAGCTTCTTCATTTGCCTTTGGATTTTCTGCTTTTTCGGGCGTAAGTTTGATGTCAGGATGATGATTCTTCAGGTGTGACGTGAGTCCACTTAATCCTTGTTTTTTTGGGTCGTCAGATCCTCTTGAAACTTTGCTGTTGCAGATTTTGCACTGAACCATTCTTGGATTGTTTGCTTCAATTATGAAGTACTTCCACACTAAACTTGTTTTTCGGTTTGAGCTCATTTTATTAGAATGAAATCGAAGAACTTAATCAGATGAGTTTTTTAATGTTGCTAGTTTGAGTCAAGAACAAGGATTTAAAATATAATTAACAAGTTCTTTGTTAATTATATTAATTATTAATTATATTAATTTGTATTAATATTGTTGTTAACTATATATATATATATATATATATATATATATATATATATATATATATATATATATATATATATATATATATATTTAAGAAAAATTTCTTACGTTACATTAAAAAGTTCGTTAAAAAGACAATTAACAATTTAAACGAGAAAACATTAAAAAAGTTATAACGACAAGAAAACATTATTGTTTTAATGTTTTAACGACGAGAAAACATTAAAACAACTTGCTTTAAAAAAATGAATGAAACCAATAAAAACTTTTTTAATTTATTTCAAACAAATTCCACGTGATAATTTTAAAAAAAATCACCAAGTTCGTAAAGATTTTACCGTTACCAATTCCATGCGATAATTAAAATAAATAAATAATCAAGTCCATAAACATATGACTCTACAATGTAGATAACATTGTAGCGTCATTAAATTTGTAGATCATGATATTTTAAACATGATAATTAAAAACCAGATAAAAGTAACAACGCGATCGGACGCAAAAAATAATATAAGAAGTTGAAATAACTAGCAAAAAAATTATTTAAATTTTTTTAATCAAAATATATTTACGCTACAATGCTAAATAATTTATTTAAAATAAAGTTTTATAATATCTATTTTCGGTAGCATTTAGAACCGAAATTCCGGCCAAAAACGAAATCTCAAATCTAGCCGGAACCGAAACAGGAATTTCGATTCCGGCCAAATTTATGACCGGAACCGGAACCGAACCGAATTTCGGTCGATCACTATTGTCGATACAGTTTATTGTGTTGATATTTAGTTTATTTTTTAACCTTATGTACACAATAGTCTATAAATAGAGCTTTGAATAAAAAAATAAAGTTGCTGGCTATCAACAAACTGCAACTGCATCGAGTGAGTGTAAAGTGTTTATGTTTACTGTTCACTTACGTCTTGGAGTGCTTCTGTTAATGTGGGTACTAGACGTTTTTTTCACAGCTGCAGAAAAATGTTTTCAAGACAAATCTAAAATGATGATGAAGAGTATTTCATTTTACATAAGAGATTTTTCATATGAATTATCCAGCTACAGTGCCCAGTAGAGTAGCAGTCAGATAATGCTGGTTTCTACTTAGCTATTAACATAGACCATTCAGGTCATACTTTGAAAATTTGGAAAATATTTTGGGTAAAATACCTGGAAAAAAACCAGAAATATATTTATTTTTAGTTGTTTCAATTTTTTTTTTTTCTCCCAAATTTTTCCTTATTTTTCTATGAGTGATGAGTGAAAAAGCTAAAAAAAATAGATATTACAAAACTATATACCTAAACTTGTATGTATGGAAAATGTTTAGGATATCCAGAAAACTAAAAGTTGAAAAAAACTTCTGGAATTTTGGAAATATCCAGAAAAGATAATCCCTGCATTAAGGCATGTTTTAGATGTACACTTGGTTGCCATATTTTTATCGATTGTACCCTGCTTCTGATTGTGTTCTTTGTTTAAAAAGATAAGTTTTTAGGTAATTTTTAAACGCAATTAAAAACGTAACAAAAAGTAATTTTTGCTTCAAGTTTAAGTATTTTGGTGCTTATATTCTTTTTTGAAAGAAATTGTTTTCTTTTTTTTTCTTTTTCTTTTTAAGTTTAAGTTTAGTTTAGTATTCTTTTTTACATCGCATTTCTGAAATGTTTAAATCATCAAAACATCTAAACAGTTCTGGTCAAGTTGTCATTTGATTGGTCAGCAAAAGTATTTGATCACACACCACATATGTCAAAGTCCGTTATTGCTCTAATAGTCCTTGGGAATGTAGTAGCTGCTTATTCAGCAAGTTATCAAATGATCTTCTTTAGATAGTTAAGGACACCTTTATTAGACTCAGGCGTTTGGTCTGGGTCTGGTTTAGGAGACAGTGGCTTAGTTTTAGGTACTTCAACCATAATATTTCCAAGAATATAAAGATACCAGTGATTATATTGCAGCTATTTAATTATTGTGCTAAATGTAATAGCTGTTATTATTGCGTGAAACGTGAGTTTATTCCTATTGCTCAAAAAAGATCATAGCTTTTTTTCACGTAGAGCGATATATCACGTAGACTTCTAATCTTCTATGAAGATGTGCGGATCTGTATACACTGGTTTTTAACTTTATTTTATTATTGTTGTTCTATTGATCTTCTGCTTATATTGTTAAGTTCATCTTTAGCTTCTTCAAAACCCAAATTTTTTTTGTTCAATATCACCATTTACTCCTTCTTTAGTTGATTTGATATGGTTGTTGATTCTTTTTCACTTTGGCCTCAGCTTCACTTTTTATTTTTTCAGCCCCAACAAGAAGTAGTTGCGGCTTGCATAATAATAACTTAATAGAACTCATTTTCTGCTTTGGTATGCCTTTGCTTGCTGATAATAACAGACTTTGTATTTTATCAAGAGAATCTTTCATAGTTTTCATCCACATGTCTGGATTTAAAAACGCTTTTACCAACCAACTTTTTATCAAATCAACTTTTCCGATTCATTAATCTTATTTAAATTAGCATCTGTAATCCTAGACTTTACATTGAAATTAATTCCCAGTTATAAAGTAATAATACAGTTTATAAAGTTCGACATCTATTAGAGACTTAAATTTTCTACATCTTTTCTACAGCTTTAGTTAAGACAGGCAGATAATAACTGTTGACTTAAATTCAGCTTTGATCATCTCTCTATCAAGACATACATTGTTAGCTTGTTTGATATTTACCACTTAGCTTACCTATTACTTGCCCTGCTAGGCAAGATAAGTGGTAGATATCAAAGTAGAGTGAAATTTTCTGGTAGCATTGTTGTCATACCCTCATCCAAGGGCATGACAATAATGCTGAACCAGAAAAATTTCACTCTACTTTGATCTAGATTTTCTAGTAGCTCTACCAAATGAGTTACCAATGCTGGGTCTAAAATCTGCTCTTAGCTTAGTATTTGCGCATAACCCAAGCAAATATTGCAACCTGTAAGATTTTAAGTTATTTACTTTTGAATGGTTTTTCCATCTCAGTTCATTTAGAGACTTTACGAAATACAAAATTGGTTTCTCTTACCGCTCAACATATTATTTCTATAGATAATAACTGTTAATTACGAGATTTTGCCTTTCAGGCTGCAATTTATTGGATTTCACAATTTGGTTTAGGCTTAGAGAGAACAGTTTTCCAATATCCAGGTAACTATATATTAACACAATTAAAACTATCTAATAATAAAGCTCCTGCGTTATTTGTCAACAAAAAGATTTTACTTTCTAAATTTTTGTTTTATCAAGTTTTGATAAAATTTGTTTAACTAAAAACCATAAAACAAAGCTATGTTTTATTTGATAAACTTTAAAGCCATAATGTAAACTATGTGTTTGTTATATTCAAGAAACTTAATAGTATAGAATGCATAATGGTAAGTTCATTTTATAAAAATGAAAACAATATAAGATCATACTTTTTGTTCACCATTCTCATCACTATCGCTAACTTCTCTGCAATTTGTAGCAACATGGCCAATCTTACCACAAATGCGACAACATCTGAAAAAGAAATTTAAAATATAGTTATAAAAATAAAAATATTATAGAAATAAAAATAAACACTGAAATAAATTAATTAAAATTTACTAAATAAACTATTCTACCCTTTGAAACAAAAAATTTATAAAAATATCTGTAAAATAAATAACCCAATCATTTCGAACAACATTGTCAGCAAAATAAACAAACCTATCATTTGGAACAATATCATCTGTAAAACAAGAACGATCAAAGTAATATTCTTTCATGCTGAGTTTTGTTGAATTGGATAAAGGAGAGCCAAAGTGTAAGCGAGCCTTTTTGAAGCATGATATAATATATTTATACATATTATCTGTAATCCCTGCGCCCAAATTATGGTCAAGATCAAAAGGATCTGAAATTAAATTAAATTTAAAAAAATATATCAACAATATAAATAATAACAACGATAATAGTAGTAACAATAACAATAATACTAATAATAACAATATTAGTATTAATAATAATTATAACACCTTCAATTGCAACAGAGTAACGCAGCCATGATTTCTGAAACTTTGAAATAGAGTTTTTTTGTCGAATAGCTATAACACTGCGTTTGAAAGAAAACTTTTCAACGTAAAAGTTAAAAAAACCAATCCAAAGTTCTGCTATGGATTGTTTATTTTTTCCATAATCTTTCCACACATTATCCTAAGAGAAATTGTATGGCATATAATATCCATTATTTATATACTATGGATGTAATTTATTAGATACAATTTATTGCTGTCAAAATTTATTTAATTTATGAGAGTTTATGTATACAATAGGCTACATTTACATTTAAAAAATTTATTGCAATCCCTATATTTGAGTACAACATAATTTTTTTTTAAAATAAACAATTATAACAGTATATTTGAAAATAATGAATACTTTGTTATTTGAATATGATATAAATAAATATTTTAACATTCAAAAAAAGGAGCCCCCCTAACTGTAGCATTTTCCTGGAGTTGAATTAAAAAACATTAAAAGAACATTAGAAGTAGCCCCCTTTTGCATCTTCTTGAGTAGCCCTCTCTTGCATCTTCTTGAGGTGAATTAGAAAACATTAAAAGCATCAAATGGCTCTATTATATTTAGAAAAAGTCAAGGGGCTAATTAACTAAACTAAAAATTATCTAACTATAACTAAAAATTACTATAGAAAGTACAAAACAGGAAGATTAACTAATTAAACTAACTAGATTAAAAATTAACTTGAAATTTTATTTAAAATTTAAATTTTTTTGTTTACATATTATTGCAACAACCCCTACAGACAGAGGCGGTGTTCCAACTTTTAAATTCTGGCTATTGAAACATGCACCAATACACCACAACAGAATATAACTGCTATATATTTTAAGATGACCACCATTATCTTTAGTTTACAAATCCTTTTTAACAAATGTAATAATAAATAACAATAAAAATATACTTACAAGATTTTGAATATCATCAAAAAACCACGTATCCTTTCCATCAATCAAGACTGTCTTTCTTTTATCAACTGCAAGCTCTTGTAAGACAGGAACAACTGGTGGTTCACAATGTTGTAGATAATATAACATTAACAAAATGTATGCATATGAAGAGAGGCTACCACGAGAAGCATCACCTATGTTGCAAATCTAAAAAAAAACAATACAATGTGTAATTTATTTTTATAAAGTAAAGCTACAAGAAAAATAATTATTTCAAAAAATCTACAAAAAAAATATTTAAACTATTTAAAAGCATAAATCTTTTTATATAACAAAATTCTTCAAAACTTCTTTAGTATAATTTTTTGTATTAAATAAATCACTTCAGCATTCATACTTATAAGATTCAAAACACATTCATCACAGAAATAAACATGAAACACTACTTGAAACAAACTAAAATACCCATTTAATTTTAACCACTTAACCACCAAACCATCCTAATTTTACACTTAAAGTACTTTGTATAAGTTATAGATCAATTTGCATACTTTTAGAAATGTAAAAAAAAAAAAAATCAAATGACACATTAAATACGTATTTTAGTAAATTTTAACTTCTTTGAGTTTAATAAAAAGAAAATGATTCTAAAATGTTATTTTTGTATAGCTAACCTTTCTATAGTCACCTTTTTCAACCCTTTCTATAGCCCCCCATTTTTTAACACACTTTTGCTTGGGATAGCTTGATAATTTTTTTATGAATTCAAGAATTATTGCCCATTCATCTTATAAACTCTATGCTGCTCTTTGACACAAAATTGATGTGAGTGATATTTATATCAAAATTGATGTGAGTGATGTTTATATCAAAATTGATGTGAGTGATGTTTATATCAAAATTGATATGAGTGATGTTTATATCAAAATTGATGTGAGTGATGTGTATATCGAAATTGATGTGAATGATGTTTATATCAAAATTGATGTGAGTGATGTTTATATCAAAATTGATGTGAGTGATGTTTATATCAAAATTGATGTGAGTGATGTTTATATCAAAATTGATGCAAGTGATGTTTATGTCAAAATTGATGTGAGTGATGAATTTGACTCTTGAATCTTATGGCCACTCTCTTTCTTTCATTCCAATTAAACAAGTTAATCCATTGTTTGACATTCAAATCACTCCAGCTTCCATTGCTAAATCTCAATTAATCTCTTATACAGCTTGTGGTCCAGAAAACATTCCTGTCATAGTCTAACAAAATTGACATTCCTGTCATAGTCTAACAAAATTGACATTCCTGTCATAGTCTAACAAAATTGTCCTCTTCAATTCTCCCTAAACTATTTAATAAGTGCTTGAGTCTTGTTTTCCTGCCTGCTGGAAAATGACACCAGTTGTTCCTATTTTCAAAAACTCTAGTGAAGATTCTGACCCCTCCAATTATCGTATGATCAGTCTTCTTTCTGTTATTAGCAAGATCTTTGAGTTTTTGATAAACAAATTTCTCACATCCCATCTTGAGTCAAATGTCAATATGGTTTTTGATCCTCTTGCTCTGCTGTGAATGAAAGATTTTGTATTAGATAGAGGCAGAGAGGCTAGGGCTATTGCACTTGACATATCTAAAGCTTGGCATACTGGTCTTCTCCATAAGCTTTCTACATACAGTGCATCTTTGGGAATGTTTTTGAGATTATCAAATAGTTTCTACCTAAACGCTTTATTAAAGTTCTTCAACATTCTTCTTCGTTTCCAGTAACTTCTGGGGTACCTCAAGGTTCTACTCTTGGTCCTGTTTTGTTTCTTATCTAGATTAATCTTCCCGACAACATTAAATCTAAAGTAATTCTTTTTGCTGATGACTCATCTTTATACTCCTGTTATAATAAAGTCTTCTCTTTTTAACCATTTTGAACAGGCAGCCAATTTTGAATCTGATCTCACTTCTGTAACAGATTGGGGTTTGCAGTGGCTTGTAAATTTTAACTCCAACAAATCTCAGTTATGTACTGCAAACAGCTATCGCAATACTGTCAACATTCATATATTAATGAATAGAAACCCTTTCACTCAGTCCTCTTATTTAAGCCTTCTTGGATTATTGTTTACTAATGATCTTTCATGGAAACCATATATGCAATCAATTACTAAATCAACATCTGCTAAGGTTGGTTCTCTTTATTGTGCTTGCCATTTTCTTACCCCTGATTCCATTCTCTACCTCTACAAATATTTTATTCATCCATATATGGAATACTGTTGTCATATTTGGGCTGGTTCTTCTAATAATGCTCATTTTCTTCTAGATAAAGTTAAAAAATGCATTGTAAACATAGTTAGAACTATCTACTAAGCTTGAGCCTCTTTCCTATTTGCATCTCTTTTTCTTGTCTACAAATACTGGTTTCTGCTCAAAGCGGCCATCACCTCTAGTTCAAAAAACTAAAATTCATTCTTGCTTGACTTGTCATTCAGCTAATTCTCATTCATTTAAACTCATTCAGCAAATTCTCATTCTCATACAACTTTCAACGTTTCAATTCTTCTGTCAACTGTTTCCTTGCTTTATAACTCTATTCTTTTTTTTTTCTAGTAACTCCCAATATAACAGTGGTTGCTTGCAGTCTTGTTGGGAGTGAATCAGAATGAAAAAATACAAAAAAATCATGTTTAGAAAATAATGATTTATAACAGCAAATAATAACTTTATGCCATTCAGGTCTTGTTTAGTCATCATCAATACTAAACCTAATTATTATTATTTATTTTAATCTCCATCCAGAGAAGTTCATAAGAGTCTCAGAAGACAATCTGCTAGGCTGTACAATAACTGGTCAATCATAAAAAAATGCAACAACATTTCATCCCATGTTCTTATCTGGAATCAAGCCTAAGGCCAGCATATTAGAAGGTCAGACAGCTAACAATGATTTTAACTAAATAATTTGTTTAACAAAATATTAATTCCAGAGCACATACAGTCAACATCTCTACTTAAAAAAGTTCATTCAAAGTTCAGCAATAAAAGAAAAAAGTTTCAAATAAATTGCTTCAGGCTGCCATACAAATGAAGCTTTCAATATTTACAAAAAGTTGCATGCTAAAATATTAAAAAGTTAGTCAAAGAACTCATAGTATCTAGAAGAAGAACTTGCAAATGCATCCAAGTTAAACCAAAACCACATACATTTACATTTTTGTAATAAAAAAATGATTGTTTTTTTAATGTTAATTCGCCCCTCCAATACTGAGAAGGCCACAGTCAAGCTACATTAGTTTTGGTTACAACCCTCTCTCAACTCTTTAAATCTGAAACAGGAACCTTGACAAACTTGTCCACTGTGCGGTGAAACAAGTTGAGCACAATATTACCAAGGATGTGGTAAGAGTTGAACTTGGAACTTCTCATGTATGAGGCAAGCACTCCACCACTACATCACTACCACATGTATTACTTGATTAGATAAACAAACTCATAGCCTAAGGAACAAATGGTTCAGCAATTACAGAAATTACAGGTGAAATATGCACAAAACTAAATAACTATTTTCAGAAAGTATTTGCAGTTGAACAGAAAAGAACCGATGTCTCTTTTTAATCAACCCTTATAAGAAATAAGTTAGCAAAAACAGCAGTTATAACCAAAATCTAACAAGCATAAAAAACGATTTTAAAAAGTTAAAAAGATCGACCAAATTTTCTGATGATTTATTCATAATATTCTACAAAAAGTCTCACAGATAAAAATTTGTAGACTCGTCAAAAAAATCTTATTTTATACCAATTTTCAAAATAAAGTTCAACTATCACTACATATTACATACTTATATCACTAACATATACAGTTTGCAAATATCATTATATATTACATACATTTGCAGTCTACAAAGTCATAAAATTTCTTATACATATATACTGTATAATGTAACTTTGCACAAAAAAAAGACTAATATGTGTAATTCAAGATAGGTCACTAATTTTCTGGAAGCACATAACATTTAACAGTCCAATATAAATGCTTTTACACAACTGCAACCTTTTGGAATCTATGACACTGCTATAATAGGTTAAAAAATTATTAACTACTTGTATAATAAAATCTGAGTGGGTCCTAATGAGAAGACTGCAACTAATTATTAACAGTTTGCCAGACATCAAACAGTTTGCTAGTACATCATATCAAACTTTATGCTGATGTTGGTAAAATTATTAAATTATCTCATCATGAACCTAACAACTTACTCTCTGACAATCAATACAAATAATCTAATCATGAATCAAACAACTCTCTGACAATTAATGCAAACCTTCTTCTGCTGAAATACTACAGAAAAGTTAAAAAAATCTCAGTATAAAAAGTATATCATATAGAACATATATACACAAGTATATCATAACATATATACATTACACAAGTATATCATATAAGATATATACACAAGTATGTCATATATAAAATCATGTTTGTAGTCAGAATGTCTCATAACAGGAATAGCAATATCAATATCAATCAGAAATAATAAAAATCAAAAACTCAATCAGTGGTGTAACATTACAGTTGCCTAGTAATGCAGGATGACTTGTATTTCCAAAGGTGAATGAAATTATTAAAAATAACGAATTGCTAGCCCAACAGGGCAACCAAACAGTTCCTACATACAAAAAAGTTAACAATAAAAATTTTGAACTATGAAGATTTAATTCTTCGTGTTTATTTTACAGAAACATTTAAAAAGCATGTATACTATTATTTTATTTTATTATCTTACTAATTTATAATTTTGTAATAAAAAACATTTGAACAACATTAGACAATTGAATAATACGTATAACATGTGTTTAATAAATGTTTCAAGATGTTTCAATGTGTGACTATAATGTTATTTAAAAGGTTATTTAAGGTTTTTAACATTTTGAAGCATATTATTTTGATTGTTCATCTTGATTATTTCAAAGAAACATTTAAAAAACACTTTAAGTATTTATACACTATATATAATTTTGCTAAAAAGAAATCAACTTGAATTAAATTAGATAGGCGCATAAATAAATTTTATTTTTTATTTAAATATTATCTAAAAAAGTTGTTTTTAAAACGCTGTAATAGGATTTTTTTTTTTCAAAATAAGTTTTAAAATCACATTTTTAATTCAAAATGCAAATGAAAAAAATTCTTTATTTTTAAAATGTAACAGTTG